TACAATGCGTTTCATTGATTCTTTACGGTCGGAAATTTTAATACCAGTATCGGGAGATAAATCTTTATATTTTTAAAAAATCCAGGACACAACGTCGCAAATAACTGCACAACTTCCTGGAGCAGCGGTTGCATGAGCTGGTGGCAGTTATCGGCCCTCGAAAATATTTTTTACAAAAATTAAAAAAAAAATCTTGTTGTTTTTTAAAAATTAAGGACTAAACGTAGTAAATAACTGCACAACTTCCTGGAGCAGCGGTTGCAGGAGCTGGTGGCAGTTATCGGCCCTCTAAAATAGTTTTTACCAAAATTAAAAAAAAAAATCTTGATGTTTTTTAAAAATTAAGGACTAAACGTAGTAAATAACTGCACAACTTCCTGGAGCAGCGGTTGCAGGAGCTGGTGGCAGTTATCGGCCCTCTAAAATAGTTTTTACCAAAATTAAAAAAAAAAATCTTGATGTTTTTTAAAAATTAAGGACTAAACGTAGTAAATAACTGCACAACTTCCTGGAGCAGCGGTTGCAGGAGCTGGTGGCAGTTATCGGCCCTCTAAAATAGTTTTTACCAAAATTAAAAAAAAAAATCTTGATGTTTTTTAAAAATTAAGGACTAAACGTAGTAAATAACTGCACAACTTCCTGGAGCAGCAGTCACAGGAGCTGGTGATTGTAGGGATATCTGTCGCCGACAACTTGACAACTTCCCGGAGCAGCGGTCACTGGAAAATATATCTCCTCTCTGTTATATTTTGTATTTTAAATTCCTTCGCTCTCAATTCGTATGATGACTACGTTTACAATTGTTTTTCTTATAAATTATCAGAATTTATATTTATCCGTATTTACAGATTTCCATAATTACCAATATCAACATTTATTGGTCTATATTAACAGATTTCCATATTTTAAGTTTACGAATATTAATGACTGTCTATTTTTTTATGTTTCTAAATTTATAATTGTCTTTTTTTCGACTTGTCTGAATTTATTCTTTTCTTTTTTTTTAAATATCAGTCATTTTAGATGTTTATATTCTGATGCGTCTAATTTCACGGAAATCTTTTTTTTTGATTTTATAATTTTACGCTTATCTTTTTTAAAATAATTCTAATTATTTTGATTACTACATTTTTTCATTGCTATTTTTTAACTAATTGATATTGCAAAGTATCCTCAATAAGACACATCATTTTTTCATTATTTCTGAAATCTTATTTTTCCATATTTTTCATTTATTGATTTCCTTACTCACAGATTTCCAAAATTTGATGTTTCCATTTTCTGTAAAATTTCCGACCGTAAAGAATCAATGAAACGCATTGTACTTAAATAAAAAGACAACTGACAATTTTTTTTTTAAGATGTTCCTAAAAAATAAATTATAAAAAATTGAGAAAAAGAAATCCACATACAGGCATACTGAAAAACGATAAATGAAAATTTTTCTTAATATTTTTTTAGTACTAATTAATTATTGTTAGGCAAAACCAAAGAATGGTCAGGTGTTTGCTGATCATGAGTATCATAATAAAATCGTTCAATTTGTCATTAATAAACTGTTATTAATAAATCTATGTAAACGTTTGATATAAAAATATTCTTAGATTTGTTAACTAAATAAAACCTTCATCTGATGAATATTTATTTTTACTACCAAAATTATTTAATTTTCTGGCATAAAATAAAATTTTTTCAACAAGTAAAATTTTACCGAGACTTATGACCAAAATATTAATAGAAAAATTTTATAAAATAATATTTAATCTAGTAAGAAATAAAATTTCTTTACAAATCTCCAAAATCAGAACAATTAAAAGGAAATCCTTTCGCTCCACTTGAGTCAAAACAATTGTAGTAGTCAATATACGATAAATTAAAAAAAGAAACCCATAAAAATTCCTAAAATTAAATAATAAATAGTATATGAGGCATTAATCGTTGAAATTTTGAAAATAAAAAAAAAAAAATAGTTAAATACAAAAATTAATTTGACTCTTTCAAACCAACTGCTAGTAACCTGTCCGTGATTTGGCAACGCTGTACAACGGTTATTTACATTTTCATTTGCACAATATAACCTTAACCACGTTTAAATTTTTGCAGTCAGTGTAAATAAATAAATTAGTTTGAATTTATTGAATGGTCTGAAACTCGCGCG